AATTTTCAAAGGTTAATCAACAGATGGCGCTAGTAACCGTCTTCTTGGATTGTTGTCTCATTACACAATCATGTGTTCAAATAGGAAAAAGGGTTTGAATTTAATGTAGGTAAATATAAAATAATAAAGTATCCAAATTTTAAATCATCTCAAAAAAGGAGACATCTTAATAAAAATTGTTTTTATTAAATATTTGTCTTAAACTGTGCAGTTTAATTATATTTGTCTGAAGTAGAGTTAAAGAGTCTAAAAATAAATTAAAGTCTAAAAATAACAGGTTTACACCGATAATAATCTTATGAAAACCATGTGCAGAGAAAATAATAAATAATCTTTGAATATACCTATGTATTTCAATAGACACTCTTCAGTAGTAAAAGGTATTCACCTCATATCTCGGTAGCAGAGAATCTACAAATTGAAGCAAGAAGCTCGAGAACGGCTAACAGAAAACTGATAGCTGGAGCATTTTATGTTAACATAACGACATTGTACGGAGTTACGTAACCGTTATTTTAATTTATTATAATGACACGCGTATTATTTAGTGTTACCGTAAGTATTTCAGGCCAGTCGGCACCTAACTCTTTTAGTAGATAGTTGATTACTATATGTAATAAATGCACTTTAATTATCGTCAAGTTTCATTCAATTATCCTTAATACAGCAACAATGCCGCACGACAGTCATCTTTAAAAAGGGTTAATTGCATTTTACATTAGGATTTTGGTAACACTCTTGGGTGTCAGATACTGTGGTAGGGCCACGCAGCGGCTTATGCACAAATGGGCAGGCCCATCCGGCGAAGTACCGCTGCCTCGCAGAAGAGCGGCGTGAAGTGGTTATTTCTAAATACCTTCTTGTATCCCATGGGTCCCACTGTTTAAAAGGTTGGTAAAGCATCTGCACTGAGGTGTCTCAGTTGTTGTATATGACCATAGGTGGCAATCATTTAACATCAGGTGAACTGCCTGTTCGATTGCCAACTTTTCACGTAATAATATATACATATAAATAAACCAAAGGCCAAAACATTCAAGTAATGCGGAAATTTATCATTTTGTTCAATATAATGCTACGATTACATTAAATATTGCTAGTAAAAGAAAGCCAGTTATTTAGTTTGTACAATTAAGTATATTGTATAAAATATTTCTCTTGTTGGATATGATATTTATATGTATGTGGATATATATTTTCATAATGATGGGAAAATAAAACACTTTTACGGTGGTAGGGCCACGCAGCAACCTCGGCTGTTGCACGAATGGGTAGGCTCGTCCGGGTAAGTACCACGACCTCACAGAAGACCGGCGTAAAGTTGAAGTATTATTAATACTATCGCGTTTCGTCTGGTGAGTGAGGTAGCCGGAGCCCGATTTTCAAAAGGTTGTCAACGCATCTGTAACCCTCGGGTGTAGCAGATGTCCATGGGCGGCGGTATTCACTTAACATCAGCTGAACCGACTGCTCGTTTGGCAACTTTTCACTTAAAAAAAGAAAAAAAAAACACTAAAACAACAAAACAGTTTTTTTATTCGAAACATTTGTACAAATGTCTAAAGAATTATTGATATAGAGTGCGGGCCACGACGAGTTCATTGTTACGCAAGACTGCACAGGAATTGACCCCTCGGTGTCTTTGAATGTTCAGGACATGTTCCAACCAAGTCGTTTGACCAGTTCTACACATAACGAAGAAATCTTGTGATTAGTGAATGCGCAAAAAGTAAACAATTTCAACAATAGCTTTTCAATTAATTTATTTAACAAATAAACGAATGAATTAACTTTTATAGGAAGGTAGGTAAAAGTTTCATATTTAAATTTGTGTGATCGTGTTAGAAATTAATTGAAAATTTAAAATGTACAAATATATCTTGTAGCGTATTGGCTAGAGTTCACCCATGTAAACCGTTATACTTCGGTTTAATTTGTGCTACCCTATAATATATCACTTTGGTTCGACGAATTGTATTAACTTATTGGAAAAAACATGATTTATTGTCTGCCTGCCGGTTAGGATAAAGTAGTTTATCTTTACTTAGTGTAAATTTAATAATATGTTATAATTACTAATATCAGAAAACCGTATAAATCATCTACAAATTGATTGGTCATATTTAAGTCATTTAAATCTCCTGACTGACGTCCCGGGATTCTTCATGCATTCCCCTAATTCTTAAATACGAAGACAACAAATAAGAAAATCTAAAAAACAAATTGATGTTTGTGACAAGACAATTTTCACTGTCTCGTCTTAAAATTTGCTTACACAATATCCCACTTCGTAACTACTCATAATTTCTAAAAGCTATAAAAATTAGATTATACAGTTTGGAAATATTTGACCCAATAAAAACTTTATTAAATAAATAAACTTTAGACTTTTTCTACGTCTAAAAATAAAATCAACGTATATACATGAAAGCCACATTAAAAGAAAAGAGAAGGAATAAGAAATTTAGAAAGCGTAATTAGAGACTGAAAGGCTAATAAATATGTTCTTTAAAATATTTACGTAAATGAAAATATTATACTATTGTAAAAATTCTATTAAGTTTAAAAATAAGATTATATTTAATAAGCATAGGGCAAATAAAAATATAATTACAATCAAAATGACTTCTGTCTGGAGATCAATCGCCTTCCTTCGTCATTTGTAATAACAATTTGGCTACTGAACCCTAAATCACAACGGACTACAAACTGCGGGGCATTATAATTAAACAACCCCATTTTTCCCACACTGACCGTTGTCCGGCGCCGTAAGCTTCGACCCCTTTACGATGACACCAAGAAGACAATTTCGGGAATAACTGGTTCATGCTCACACGCTATACCGGACTTCGAAATCGTCTTCAATTCTTCAGTATAATTCCGAACCGTCGAGGCATGATCGGTTTAATGTGGATGTGTTAAATCGTGCGTTGTGACGTACGCGGGTGGTGTAAGTGCGGACTAAGACGATTTCAATACGTGTGTAAAAGTATTGCCTATTTAAACAATATACTTAATTGTTGTGATAAATTGAATTTTTTTTTATCGGGCTATTTTGTCAGGCAGTGAAACTACCATGTGTTTTAAGATTAAATGGTCAGTATGTAAACAAATGTTCGAGTACATTGTAATAATGAGGTATGTCAATATAGACCATTTAATTGTTTTTATATTTTTTTTACTTCATTTATGTATATGAAATTATCTAAACTTACGGCTGTTCCTTATCCCGGCTATATTGATAATTAAAGAAAGTAAAGATAAAAGGCTTCGATTAAATCAAGCTTACAGTTGATTTCATCCTCCAATACTGAACCAGTTTAGCAAAATAATGTAATATACGATATAATCTCCCTATAAGAAAGTATTATTAATATCTTTGCCTCGTTAAAACATGTAACCGAATTGAAGCTTAAAAATAAAAAAAAGAATGAATTTTGATAATTCCGTCCACTTGCAATAATATAAATGACTAGTAAATATATTAAAGTGAAAAATTAGGACCAGCACTAAGATGTTATTCTTAATGATTATTTTTGGCTATCACATTTTATTTATTTTGCAAAAATTTTATAGCAAGTGAATTCCATAAGCGATAAATATACACTCGTTTTAGTGACTCTAGTTTAAAAATACAATTAAAATTATAAGTATAATATACTCAGTTTTATTATGTCCATATTATTTGATAACTTTCTTTCCAAATTCCAACAAACACTACATTAACTAGAGTGGCATGCTTTAGTTATTACCATAGGTATGTACTAGCGTCTTACCATACAAGAATAATTGTAGTTTATATTTTGTGAATTACAATTCCATCTTTTGCATATTTCCTCACTAGTGTTAGATATGTCTTATGCACATGTTTACAAATACTAATAGTTAAAAATAGTATGTTCATACTGGGCAAGTTGAACTTACAAACATTTTAAAATAGTAATGGTAACCAACATTATGTCCACAAATAAGCAATATTTTAATAACATCAGCTTCATAGCAAAATAATAATTAATTGACAGATAAAATCCGAACAAAAATTTAAATAATATACCTGAAGTTTTCCACGAAGCCAGTCTTCTCTTCGTTATCTTTGTCCTCTTATAAATTAAAAAGGAATGTTCGTATCTTAATCTCTACGCATACCTCAACCATTCATAACCATGTCATGAATCTTCCTGGCAACTCTTAATTTTATTTTCTCTTTATACGTTTGCATAAAACTGTTACAAATACTTTTTCGTTCCGTTAGTGACACTGAAGCGCATGTGCGTGTTACGCGGTTTAAACAGCGTGCCGTAAAGCGCGACAATAAATGAACACACATATAGAGGATAACTTTTTAAAATTGTATTAAACATTTACATTCTTTAAACATTAATATTTACCGAGTTATTAAAGTTACAAAACAAACAATTTACAACACCTTTACGTATAAAACTGTAACGTAAAGTTCATTTGTAAAGGTCACAAAGCATATGAATGGATTGAATGAATTTAAAAAAGACAAAACATACTGTTAGATGGAGAGGCTTGTAATGCGACGCTGTGGCAACGAATGAAAAAGTCTCTGAATGTATGAATCAGTCAGTTGTAGTTGTATACAAATTTTGTTTCTTTATTACTTAATTAGTTTGTTTGAAAAATGTTTTTTTTTGATTATGGATTTTTTTAACGTTAATATTTTTTTATGATTATTGGCAAGCACCGTTAGACGTGTGTTCATTTATTGTCCCGGTTGTAACGACACGCTGTATAATAAATTATCACAATTGATAAATATGCAAAACCTATTTTTATATGCTCTCTATATACCATGGAAAATTTTACGTATTGTAGTTTTACTATTCATACTGACGCAGGGTAACGGTAATGGTTTGTTTCCAAGTAGGGTAGACATCACGCTAGCGGCCAATCGTACAAACGAGCCTTGCCAATAACATAATTCAGACAACGTCTGCATTATGTTATTGGCAAGCCAACCGCACTTACGTGGGATAATGGTTGCAGAAAGAAGAGTTTCACTTTTCATAACAAGACGTAACGAGCAGGTAATATTAGTTTTAAGACATCCAAATAAACATTTCCCTAAAACGTAATCGAACTATGCAAACGCCGACTTAATTTTCCGCAATTAAGCGCAATCGGACTATTAAATTATGCGACGCCTCAACACCTTTGAGGCAGCGTCGGTTTGCGTCGTTTTGCGTCATTTCGCGTCGCTTCGCGTCGGCCCGCGGCCGCCAAGCGTCGGTTTGCGCCGAGCAGGCGCTCGCCGGCCAGGTCGCTAGGTGTGCCCCATAAATCTTGGCGCGCTAAACGAGAAAACGTAATGAAACGGCCTGCATTTTCTCGGGGCGTCGTCATCAGTCAGATGGAGTGGCGGGAATATGGAGGCAAGTGTGATTTCTCGGATCCATCCTGTTATTTGATGGTTCACTTAGTTACTTGTTTCAGTTCCCCCAAAGCACATTCGACTCAAAGCCAGATAGCGTCGTAGTCTGAAAAAAACCTTGTATGATTAGACTTTGTTTATTTGAATAATATACAGAAGGTAAGGGGTAACGACGCAACACATAGGCTTTTGTCCACTTACCTTTACCTTCTTTTAATATAAAACATATATATGTATTTATTCATATATATATATTTATTTGTGTACATGTAGTAGTTTTGTGTACATGTGTCTATAATACCCATATTTACAATAGCGTATGCCTCAAACCCTTCACACTGATCATTGTATCCTCTGTAACGTGGTTGCCTGGAAGAAATCGCTTCTAAGCGATACGGCCGCCAATTGTACCTTTACGTAATTGTTTGTTACTTTTGTAATTTTGTATGGTGTACAATAGAGCGTATTTCATTCATTTCATTCATTCATTCACATAGACTACGATAAACACTTAGTGTCATTCCAATCTTAAAGTCTACTAAATAATAAAGACATCACTATATAGAACAATTTGCAGTTGAGAATTTCTGTGAAATCAGAGTGCACAAGACAGTAAGTCTATGAAATGAAATTCACGTGAAATAAATATGTAAAAGATCAAAAGCTAGACTCGAACCAATTAATTATGATCAAATATATTTTTATTTTGAGTAAAAGGTGTACCAATACATTTTTCCTAGCAATGTCATTGTAATTTAAAAGTCAACTTAATAATAAAGACATCTGTATACAGAGCAACGAATTTGAATCCGAGAATTTAACTCAGAGTGCACAAGGCAGTAAATGTCTGAAATAAAAATTTGCCAAGATACGTGATGTCACTCCACAGAGTGGTCACATTACACATATACGGACATACTAACTGTCCCCTGCCCACTTCGCTGGGTCATACCATCTTCTTTAAGTCAAAAAATTTAGGTTCCGGATAAATAATCACCAACATATCATATATTGAAACCTTCTTCAAAACACGCTGCATATCATACTGTACATGCGGTATTCCGATCAACCGACAGTAGATTTTGCAATATAATCGAACAAAAAACCGTCCCTCCATTCATTGGTATAGATAGAAGATAAATATAGTTAGGCTGTTTTTTCTAGATATATATCTTTAATAACCATTTATTTACTAACGAAAAACAAAACCAACTTTAAATATCTCGCTCTGTATTAATTTTACATTTGATTTCCCAAAGTATCTCCGGAAGCCAAGACCAATGAAATTAACACGGGACCACATGGGAAGCACCAGCCTTCAAATAAAGAAAGAATCATCAAAATAAAGAAATAATCATCACACGAAAGTTCTGAGGTAACAAACATAAAAAAATACAGTCGTATCGAGAACCTACCTTTTGAAGCCGGTTAATAATACAGGCTGTTACTCTACTTTCTCACTTTGACCAACTCGATGTGGAGTTTTCAGCGGCGTCTCTCTCCAGGCGGAGCGGATTGAGGCAAGAGCTAGAAAACATATTGCGAATCATCCGCCCGCCCCCGCAAGACGCCCCACCGGATGACTCGGTTAAGGCTAAATTGCTCGAGCGGCAGATTGCCGCGTCTCGAGCAAAATTTCCGCAGGATTTAAATATAAGAACGCAAGCCGTTATTGTGTTCCGGGCCTAATGAAATCGCATCTATCCGATTGCGACGTCGCGTTTAGATTGAATTTGAGAATTCCCACGCACTCTATTTACTGTTTCACGTAGAACGGTGATCATTATCAAATTCATTTTATATACAATCTAGCCGTTTGGGGTTGGTTGCTAGTAAAACGGGACCCTATTACTAAGACTGCGCCCTCTGTCTGTCTGTATGTCAGTCTGCCCATCCGTCCGGGCGGTAGTTATAAGTTAACATCAGGTGAACCGCCAGCTCGCTCGCCATCTTCATTACATAAATAATGAAAATAAAAACAGTCAATTTATTTGAATGAAAATAGCTGTAGAGAAGTAGGTAAGGTGATCCAAATTGAATGTGCCTTTTATTCTATCGAATACATTATGGGCCAAGGAGTGTGAAAATAAAAAAAGCAATATACAAAGTAGGCCAATTATAATGATATGTTCTTATTTTAATTTATTGATGTTAAGCATTAACATAATGTCACAGTTTCTGTTACACATAAGATTATTTTTGCCATTCATTGAGTTTTGTCCTAATGGTAGTTCCCATGTGGTCCCATATTGATTTTACTTTTTAGACCTTGGAGTAGACCAGAAATACGGAAGAGAACTCAAAATTAAACAGAAAATGTAATAAAAATGTTACACCTGTGTTTACAACGATGTACCACTGTTTATTTTCTTACAGACGAGGTTATATATGAAAAAATGCCTTAAATCCGTTCGTTTGGGAGCGCGCCTCGCTTTCATTAAGCCGCACCGCCACTTTGTCACCGCCGCCCGCGTCTTGCCATTTCTTCGGGGTCATTAGTAGCAACGACAGCCATTCCGGGCGCCCATTTAGATAAAACGTCGCAGATTTGAACGAAGATTCCCGAACGCCCGCCCCCCTACCCTCCGCCCCCGGCGAGTAATGAGACGCGAAGATTTTCGCAAGGGTGCAAATGTTTATATAGGGTGCGAATTTGAGTTACGCAGGTCTCGCGCGGGGCGTACTTTATTGTTTGCGTTTGATCGTTACGTTTGCTAGTTTTCGATTTTCAGAAACAGATAAAAGTCTAAGCCATTATAGTATAACCACAGACTAGAAAAGAATTGGCCAAGGACTAAATCCTCCTTGTGTCTTTTACTCACCCTCAGATGGCGGCTTTTTCGTCGAACTCAGAGACTAATAAGTCCTTGACAAGCATTAAGAATAGTGTCTACGTAAATCTTTCCTGTGGTAGGGAAACGCAAAGATGCCCGGATAGCCAGGCCCGTCGTCTGGTAGTTACGGCAACGGCAACCCTCTTTTTTAAAGTTTGCCAACTCATTCGCAACCCCAACAGTTTTTGTCTTAAAAAATGGAGTCTTTGTTGTTGAACTGCTCTTTCCTAGTACGGCCTTTATTAATCAAAAGCCTAAACACATGTTCGCGGTGAATGCGACGCAAGGAAACAAGTATTTAAGATATATGTAGCTTATGTATCGGTGCTATCCTCATACAAATTCTCACTCGTCTAGATTTAGAAAGGTAACAAAACTTATCAAACTATCTGACACGTGTAGATATAGAAAAGTAAACCAGTTTAAGCGAAAACGAGGAAAACACCCGACAAAAGCAACCGGCCTGTATCTGCTTGCAACACGTGTGAGACTCCCGTTCTCTTATCTTTGAACCCCGTTTCTTTTATAAAGCCCCCATCGCGTTACAAAGGTAGTAAGGGGGCACATGTTTAAAGGATTAAGGATTCTTGAGATTTTCATTTACGATAGAGGAGATGTCTTTCAAGTATACCGATGTATTAATTATACTTATGTACTCACATAACCTTATACGTCTTTATAAACATATATTAGTATTTTCTAAAATGAACAAACATAGTCCTGATTAAGTGCTATTGTAAATCTGGGTGTAGACGTTAATCTAGATATTATAATGTTCATAGCCGTTCTGATTACCAGCCGCAATGGGCAGGCTAAGGGTGTAAATTAGTAGAACTGCTCAATCCCATTTCTTAGACTTTTTCCGGCTAGTGAAATTATGACGTATTTGTTGCTTTATAATTAATTAAAGTAAGTCAAAAAAGTAAAGTACTAGCCTTTAAATGTCCCACTGTTGGGCAAAGGCCTCCTCTGTACTGAGGGTATCAGGGCATAGTCCACCACGCGGCCCCCCTGCGGATTGGCGTACTTCACATATTTTCGAAATATTTTTGTTTGTTATTATTTCAAAAATATGCAGGTTTCCTCACGATGTTTTCCTTCACCGCCGTGCACATGATAAGTCGGCGACTTAAAATTAACAATTTCTTTGGTCGAGTATATTGAATTAAAGGCGAGCGCCCGGACACTGAGCTATCACAGCTCAAAGTCAGTCATGATAAATTAATTATTAGCCTTATTTCAACACATTAACCAATGTATCACGAGCGTTGAACTGTAAAATGCATACTTTTTAACTGCATCTAAATTGACTAACACTTGTACAATATCATGTTGACAAATAAATAAAATACACTGGGTCCGTTTGGTTTACATTTTTGTGGTAAGCACTAGATCTCTGAGAAATCATCCCTTAAGAAGCTCCTAAATAAGAAGGCACACAACACAACACTTTCACTAAAACAAGTCGCTTTATTCAATATAAATTGATTTAGTATCACCAGTTTAAATCTTCAGCATAATAGATCCACTTTAAAACCGTTTCTTACTCTCCATTACCAATGCGAACAGAATGGAATCAGTAGAAAACACAAATACGCCAACATATAATGGAGGTTATCAATTTCAGGAAGAAACTACGCCGAGAAATTACGTCGTTACAGATATATTTTAATCACAAAGGAGAGTAGAGGGATCCGACCGCAGTAGTATCGAGCGCTTCAAGCTCTCAAAAACTCCACCGTAACCTTTTCAATTCGTTAATAATACTTACAACTAGACGCACACACACACACAGCGCCCGCCCGTTAGGAGGCCACCCCGCGCCTTGGGGCAATTCTTCAAAGGGTGGAAAAAACCACCCCGACCCAGCCCCCGAGTGCCCGCCTTAAAGCGATTCTTAGGGTGAAAAAAGGGGTGGACCCCGGGCGGCGAATGGGTACAGCGCACCGGTTTTTTACTATTCGTTTTGCGGAGAGCTTTAATTCCATGTTTTAATTTGTCTCCTTTTTAACTGGGCGTTCGTGTTTAAGCCGCCATAACCTTCATTCGCTTATCACCATTCATATGGTGTAAATGATGTTTTTTTTAATGAAGCTACAATTGCGTATGATGGTTCAGTTAACGTAGATTTATTTAAAGCATCTATGTAAGCAGCAAAACATATAATAATGTTTTTAAATAAGACGCTTCATTAATTCGTTATATTAAAAAGAATATATCTAAAATTGTCTCAGCAAATATGTCAATTGATTTAATGGTTATACTTTGGAGTCCTATTTATCATTCTGATCAACAAATTAATTAGTTCTGTAAACGAGTAATTTTTTTTTATTTCCGCGTAAATCTAAATGGTAGGATTATTTCGGAAACTCAATAAAACGTACTACTCGTTCCGTAATAACGCTCCTACGTTTAAAACTAACACCTCCACACCACTAGCGACACACACCAATAAAAATCTCCCCGTCCCGTTAAACGGAACGTACACAGACAAAAAACCTTAACTAGTCGCCCCCCTCCCCCCAGGGAGGGGGCCCTCATATCCTTGCAGAAATTTTGTTTACTTCTCTCTCGGCAAGGAACCGGCAATCCGGGATGGGTAGGGTTACCATGATAAAAGATTTCCGCTTTTTTGTGAAGTCACATAGAGTTTAGTTTCCGTTAATTACCTATATAAGTAAACGGAATAATGATTGTTCGTAAAGTTTCTTCGACGTATTATTAGCTGCTGAAAACGCGAAATAAATCTTCTTCAATTTCTCACTTGCTTTGTGAAGGGAACATTTTGCACGTGGATAAAAATAATCAGCATGTGTAGTTATCGTGCATACATAGTCAGTTTTTATATTATGTAAGTATTTGCATTTTTGATATTATTAATTAGTATTTATGATCTTTTTAGCTTATTGTACCTACCACGATCTCACTCCACGCCCCGGGTTGACTGGGATAGAATACCCAAATGGAATTAAGTCCGCCCTTTGTAATACTTTTTTTAAGGTTTTGCCATAAAGCGTAAATAAATAAATAAATAAATAAATAAATAAAATAATCATTATAATTATAATGCCGTCGAAAGCGTTTATCCATTGTTAATTTGCGTTTGTGTAAAAAAATGAAATTGTTTTATTTATCATCCTGTTCTTGATTGAGTTCCCGAGTTCCTGATTTAAAAAAAAAACGTGAGAAATTTGTCATCTCATGATGATTATCCTGTCTATATCCGATTACACCAAATCACATCGATGTGGAAAAATACACTTAATAGTTTACGATGTTTTTATTCCTGCTGGCCCATAATGTATGTTAAACAGATTTAAGTTTGATAATAGTAGGTACAAAAGGTCTTGTAGAATACGTATTATAATTTCGATAATAACAACTGGTAACCCTAGGATTAGAAGGAAGCGTATACTCGTTTGAAATAGGAACTCGGCGGATTGGTTTTGCGTTCCTAGTTTTATGCTGGTTGGTTATGTTTTCGATGAGAAAAAAGAGATAACGATGTTGCCATTTCATTTATTTTTTATTGGTTCCTTAATGTGACATATCACTTTATTTCTCGAATTACCAAAAAAAATTTTTTATTCCACATGTATTGAAATGCTATTTTATGTTTTGTACGTAATGTACTCTAAGTTTGATGGATGGTTTGAAATAAATTTATTTGTTGTATCCTGAACTATAATAGCACATTTTTGACTAGCTATCGTTGCTGAAAGGAGACTTTTTAAAAAACTTCTCAAATCAATTAACGGCCTTTAGAAACCTCGGTAGAGGGTGCAGTGTGAAAACTCGTGTTGCGAATTCGGAACGCGCTCAATTCCAACTTTGAATTTCAACGTGCCGCGC